ATTGTACCCCGTGGATCTTTAAACTATATAATCGTGTTCCAAAAAGCCATGACTGTACAGGGCCAGAACACATGTCGTCATGACGCAGTTAGGTGCGCAGTGCGACGTGTGCTTACGAGTATGCGATGTTTCAAATTAATAATAAGCTCAGTTAGCAATTAGTTTTATTAGTGAAATAACAATGTAAAATAACTTTATATAAATCCCATGCCAATTTTACTCATTTTCCCCATAATAATATTTCGATTTTGAATCAACCCAAAGCTGGGCCACGTGTATTATGAGTGGCTGTATTTACGATACCTGGTATCATTTATCAGTCAAATAATATTATCGTTATTACATTTTCAAATCGAACTTACATATGAGAAATTATTATGTATGAATACCAAATCCATTTTAATTACAAAGTGAACTGTGTAATAGGTTACGGGCTAAATTCATATTGTAGTTGAAAATTTGAAGCTGAATAATGTGTATACATTGTAACTGCAATTACATTTAAATGTTAAAGTTTCTCTGCAGGTTGTTTCTAAGTTTCTATTTTATTGATGACTTTCATATGTGTTTATCTATGACGTAACGAAATAGCTGCCGAATTTCGAAGTTTCGTAAAGAAATGTTGCATGAATTTCTTTGATCATATTCAAACATTTTTTTACCCTAACTAGAACTAATTTTTTTCAGGTCCTGATGACTCAATCGATCGCGAATTATGAATTATTAAAACAAAATAGACTGCAAAAATTTGAAGTGGCATATTTTAGGATAAATAAATTTTTTGAATAGGCAATAATACTGGACAAAATATGAAAATTGGTAATATCAAATGAGCAATCCTTCGGTAGCAGCGAGCGGAGGTCATTAATATGACTGCGATGTTTCTAATTAACAAAAGAAAGAGCTAAATTTCATGAAAACCCTCCTACGCTAACTGGGTCGCTGTCATGAAAAATTTGAGCCGTTAATTCATATTGGTGAATACAATCTTAAATGCAAACATGAATTACGGCATGCACGTAATATAAGCATTATTACTGCAATATTACTTTCCTAAGCATTATTTATGCTCATAATTCTGTATTGCTCATTTTCAATACATGCATAATGTGAATATTATATTTGTATAGAAAAGGCAGTCTTACAGGCTAATTATTTCATTCAAGTTATTTTTTATTCAACTTCAACCCCAATCTATTAGTCAATTCAATTTTTATTTAACTTTAACCCCTATCTTTTAATCAATTCATTTTTTAATCAATTTTAACCCCTACCTTTTAATAAAGTTACTTTTTTATTCAACTTTAACCGATATTTTTAAATCCATTCAATTTTATTTCAACTTTAACTTCTGCCTATTAATCAAATTATTTTTATTCAAATTTAACCCCAATATTTCAATCAATTAATTTTATTCAACTTTAACCTCTGCCTTTATAAAGTTATTGTTATTCAACTTTAACGCCTAATTTTCAATAAATTCATATTTCATTCAACTTTAACTCTTGTCTTTTAATCAAGTTATTTATATTCAACTTTAACCTCTGTCTTTTTATCAAGTTATTTTTTATTTAACTTTAACCCGGATCTCTCAACCAAATTATTTTTAATTTAACCTAAACACTTATCTCTTAATCAAGTTAGGTTCATTTGGTAAACGAGTTCATAAAAAATATAACAATTTTTCACTTGCCAATAAGTGACAATCGATAATAATTAACAATAACTTAAAAATTTTCACAGTAATTAACAATAATTGATAACAATTAATAACTATATATAATAATTGACAATAATTAACAGCAATTGACCATAATTAACATACACTTAATGATGAAATGAATGATATATGCTTTTAATGATGAAATGAATGATATATACACCCAATGATGAAAAATGAATGATATATTATTATTATTATTATATTATATTTGTTTTTCGCATCCAAGAACGTATTTCCTTCATAATGTTATTAAATTAATGCTCTATTGATTACAGTTATTTTGGTGTAACAAACTAACGCTGCAAAAGGAGATAATTAATAATGAAGAATAATAGGTATTTACTGAAAACTATGATTTAACAAATTCTAACCCATTCCCTGTTAAAATGTACTTTGACTGAACTGAACGAAGTTTAGGCAAACGCTCATTGATGAAAAACTTCATTTTTGAAGGGTTTAGAGCTCCAACAGCGAATAATGCTGAAAAATGTAGAACATACATTTTTTATTTAAAAAAATCCGCTGTACAATGAAGCAATTCAAGGAACATTTAGATTGATTAAGTGTTGTTTCGTCACGGCCTTCACATTCTAAGACATTGCCGGGCGCAGGGTGATGAAAGTTGACGGAAATTTCAGATTGTGTTCTAAATATTTTATTTGCTCAAAATCGGGTTCAAAACATGATTCCTGCGAGACGTCCTGCTTCTTATCTAGCAAATTTTCTGAAACTGTGACTGAATGTGATAGTAAGAAAACTATATTTATTGCACATTGCCCTATTTTGGTAGTGCGTCTAAAACTATGACCAGAAAAAATAAAGATTTTGTTTATGAAATATTTCCCGAATATAAATTTGCATGTTTGCTGGTATATAATTTCAAAATTGATTCTTTTTACAGATATAAGGACGCTATTCATGCCCGGATGCGATCAAACCTGGTCTATGAGTTCAGTTGTGCACGCTGTGCATCTACGTACGTTGGAATGACATCGCGTAACTTCTACATTCGGGTTTCTGAACACCGTGGCAGGAGCTATCGTTCTAACTTGCCTCTCGCCAAGCCTCCTCATTCTTCCGAGCGCCTCCATGCTGAACAGTGCGACGTGGCTGTATCTGAGAGTGATTTCAGGATACTCGGTTCCACTTCTGGGCGATCGGATTTGAGAATTTGGTCTCTACATATCTTCAAACGAAAACCGTGTCTCAATAATGCGTTTAGCTCATATAATCTGGAAATAGTGAATCGCTAGGCTTATATATTCTTTTGGTGAACCCTAGGACTAATTTGTTCCAATCGATTCGATATATTGTTAGGTCTTGTTTAGGTTTTATGTCTGTCTTAGAAATTTGACTTATAATATGATTTTATTCATTTTTAGTTTGTCGAACTGATGATGGAGCTGGACTCTGGAACGTTTTCAATACCGATATGGTGAATTTGCTTGGTGTTTTCTTTGCTTTTAAATTCCTTACGTCACGAGCTTCATAGCCAGGTTAATAAAGCGGATATTTCAGAATCAAGAACAAATCCTGACTTAGTTGCGTGGACTTGTATCTCAAGATTCCATTTTAACGGAGAATAAATACTTCAGTCATCCATGGCACATGACGGAGCAGTTGTTGAACAAATGTCAACAAATATTGTAGAAAAATGGTGTCCAGGGTAGAGTTGTACTCGGCAGGCTATTGGTGGAGCATAGGCAGGACGTGCTACCACTGCTTCGGCGATGTGGCAGCATATTACCACATAGGTGTGGGCATGGCACCCAACCACCTATGGTCTACCATTTATCTCCCTATATGATTGTTAATAAAACATCAGTGCTTCACCAATAATGTTTATTCAACCCGGCCGGTTCACTTCTGCCTATAGTTTCTGACTCGAAACTGTAATGAGCTGGGAATGCAGGGATCCATTGGGCGCGGTTCGTGATGCACCGCTGCATGGAACCACTGTCGAACCAGCGCAGTGAACCGCCTTATTTAGGGGCACTTATCTGTAAACGCACCAAGAAATCAATAATCATAATATGACCAGCTTGGGACATCAAAACTGTACAACGAAAGAATACATTTGTATCCAGGTACCATTACATTGGAAGACCATAAACACAAGTATTGATGATGGGAAAAATACGGAAAAACTAAGATGTTCACAGGAATCGTCATATCATGAGGACAACTTGGTTACTTCTTGGGTTTGAAAGTTTTGAACGTGTTGTCGGAAGGACTGGACGTTAACATGTGTTGTCGGAAGGACTGGACGTTAACATGTGTTGTCGGAAGGACTGGACGTTAACATGTGTTGTCGGAAGGACTGGACGTTAACATGTGTTGTCAGGAGGACTGGACGTTAACATGTGTTGTCAGGAGGACTGGACGTTAACATCTGTTGTCAGGAGGACTGGACATTCACATGTGTTGTTAGGAGAACTGGAAGTTAGCATGTGTTGTCAGGAGGACTGGACGTTCACATGTGTTGTCAGGAGGACTGTTCGTTAACATGTGTTGTCACGAGGACTGGACGTTAACATGTGTTGTCANGTGGACAGTGGGTGTGGACAGTGGGTGTGGACAGTGGGTGTGGACAGTGGGTGTGGACAGTGGGTGTGGACAGTGGTCGTGGACAGTGGGTGTGGACAGTGGTCGTGGATAGTGGGCATGGACAATGGGTGTGGACAGTGGGCGTGGACAGTGGGTGTGGACAGTGGGTGTGGTCTGATGGATAGTTTAACAATTTCATTTTCACGAAATTTTCAAATTTTGTTAAAATTACTGGTCAGTTAAATTTTTAATATCCAAACTCAATCCAACGCTGATGTTGGCTTTCCATCAGCCACTATTCAGCATTCATGCACAGTTTTCACTGCACTAATGAAACTTAATGGCTCATGGCTACCAAACTGGTCGAGGTAAATCTGCTTGTTCACAGGGACAAAGTTGGCGGCCAGTACAACACAGGGACAGTATTGGCGGCCAAAAACAAGTTTCAAATACAAAGCACCACTATTTATCGTGCTGTTGGCCTCGGGTATAGACGCTACGGGCCACGGAAAGACCCAGTGACACTTTAACAATGCTAGTAGTCCTAAATGTTGTACTGGTCGCCACTACTGTCCATGTGAACAAGCCCTTTCAAGGTTGTAGGTAAGCTATTGGATCTGATGCTTTTGTTGAATGGAAAAATTTGCGCTAAGACTGCTAGTTCTATACAAGTGAATAATATATTCACAAAGAGCAAAATAACTGAAAAAATAAGTAAATAAAGATATATTTACAGTCTTACGTCGTAAGATACGATGATCGTTTTGTTCGGGAACAAGTTGGCTTCCATTGTGTATCCCATCATCACATTGAACGGCCAGCTCCTCTGTGGTTCTGCTCAATAGAAGACAACTTAGTGGTAATATTGGCCTTGTGTGAGTCATCCTGACCCAGGGTATCAGTGCAACGGACAGAAAGTGGGTCAGTATTAGGACACTAATATTTCTTCTTATTATTATTAAGTATCAAAACACAATAGTATCCTAATACTTGACCCATTCATATTTCTTAGTTGAACTCCAGCGTACATATGAGATGATTACTAATTCAATCAAGTCAGACGGAAACATTATGGAAAAATCTATGGCTTTAAATAAAAAAAGATTTTTATGTTTTCATGTTGAACTAAATAACCTCGTATTATTCCAATATAAATATTCCCCAAAACTACATAGTCCGAACCTAAACTACAAAGTCCGAACCTAAACTACATAGTCGGAACCTAAGCTACACAGTCCGAACCTAAAGTACTTAGTCCAAAACAAAGCTACACAGTCCGAACCTAAAGTACTTAGTCCAGAACAAAGCTACAAATTCCGAACCTAAACTACTTAGTCACAAACAAAGCTACTCATTCCAAGCCTAAACTACTTAGTCCAAAATAAAACTATATAGTCCCAAACAAAGCCACATATTCCGAACCTAAACTACTTAGTCCAAAACAGAGCAATATAGTTCAAAACAAAGCTATATAGTCCATAACAAAGCTTCTTAGCCTGAACCTAAACTACTTAGTCCACACCAAAACAACATAGTCTAAAACAAAATTACATAGTCCTAACCGAAGATACATAGTACTCAATTTCATTTATACTCGATAATAGAATATTTAAAAGCTCTACCATCATTTGTGGTACCTGGCTTGGTAGTCGCCAACGTCTGAGCGGTGGTACCGAACTTCTCTCTGGTGGGGAGACCGAAAGAGACGGTGACGTTTGTGCTGCACCCTGGGATGTTCTCTATCGTCGTCTGGGGCGAAGTCTTACTTCTCCTGGTTTTGGTTTCGACGTACTTTTCCTGGCCGGAGAAGCTGACGATGAAGCCGGGGTAGTTGCAGCCACCATCGTTTGAAGTCCACGTCACGTCGAAGTTATTATTCGTACTCGCCGTCAGGGTCGCAGCCACCGTCAACACTTTGAAATTTCCTGTTGAAGATAGGAAGAAAGGCGTTTATTTAGAAGAGTTGAAGTGGTGGATTTTTTACATTGGAATCCAGTCTTCGAAATTAAAGTTAAGATGGCTGCAGCAATGAACCGCACCCGCCGTCACTGGACTGGACCAAAGGTGGGCAAAATGACTTGCGAGAGTTCGCAAGAAGACCTCTCTGCAATATATGACTGCGAACTAGTGCAAAATTCACCCCTAATATGAGGTGCGGAAGAGTCGGGATAGAACACAACTACTTGGCCTCGGACGGCACAGAAATTGCGGATGAGGTAATTTTTCACGACTGCGCAGTGTCGAAGAGTACTAATGTCACGTTTGGTGACGTGTAGGAGCAAAAACCGCAAGAAGCAGGCAAAAAGTAATGTGGATCTTGTAGACGTTAGGAACTAGAGAAACTGAATCGATGATCACGCTGGTAAAAGCCCTCGTGATCCTTCTCCTTGAGTTCTGCTTCCAGCTGTGTTCACGGTTTGCGCTGTGTGGCCATTAGAAGCGGTCAAGGGAATCTTCATGCGAAGGAACGAAATCTTCGGGAAGCCAAAATATCACAATGGGAGAAGACACTGTGTCCAACACTCCATCCGACAAAAATCTTGGTTTATTAGATCAGTCTTGGTTTATTTCCATGACGGGACCAAGGCTGTTTCACGTCTTGACTATGGAGATAACAATAGCGGGTGTCGTTCGCTCTGGAGACCCTCAAGAGACTGGACTTTTTACTTGGCACAATCAATGATCACACAGGGTTGGCCGTTGAAAACGAAAACGTACCAGTGAGGCATGCTACTGCAACGTTCAGAACCCCTCCCACACACCCCATCCCACCCACCGTAACTGGCCTGGATCAGCGAATGACGATGGGTTGGACTAATTGATCGCACCCACGAAATTGGGCTCGGCCAGAGATGGGATGGATTAATCCATCGCATTCACCGAAATTTGGCTCGACCAGAGATGGGACGGACTAATCAATCGCACCCATCGAAACTGGGCTCGACCAAGGGTGGGTTAAACTAGCCTATCACACCCACCAAAATTGGGTTCGATCAGAAGGGGGTTTGACTAATTCATCGCCCATCCCGATACTTTATGTTATAAGGTATTGGGATCGACCAGAGGTGGGATGGACTAATCCATCGCGTCCACCGAAATTGGGCTCGACCAAAGGTGAATTTCACTATTCCATCGCACCCACCGAAATTTGGCTTGACCAGAGTTGGGTTGGCCTGGTAGATGGCTACGTAGTTTGCCGCTGCTGCCTTCTGGTCGGCGCATGCATGACTTGGGACAGTTGCGTTGTAGGTGGAGCAGGTGGTACCATCGAAGGACAGGGTGGAGTGTCCTGCAAACGTTGCGGCGGTTAGGTTCATTGCAAGATGTTGTTCCGTAGAGGCATTGTTTAATTATTATTGCACCCATTAATTCTTGGTAAATGGCACCTTCTGCGGCTGTAACCAACGGTAGTAGCAAACTCACCGGCCACAGCGGCAGCGTTGACGCAGTCCCTGAAGGTGGCCGCGCTCGACTGGGAGCTTCCGAAGCATTTCAATATCTCCGGGTGAGTGTATGTGCGGTTATACACGATCCCCTTCTTAGACTTGATGGACTGGAACACGACCGACCTTTTGGTTTTCTTGCAAGATGTCATGGGGCCTTTGGGGGTCACAAAAACCTGTAATCAATAAAATGCTGAATATATACCAGAATATCGATGTTGGTGACAAGATATTGTTGAGACAGTTACTTGCCCAAAAACTTGTGGGGGCACAGCAATGCATATTATTAAAGAATAGGAATGATAGCTTAAATGTTCATAAAATCCCAACGCGAAAATAGGTTCACAAATCTCAATTTAATTAGACGCGTGTGATGGTTGTTTTAACTCACATCAACAGCAGGGCCTGGAGGCAGGTTCGCCTGTGAGCAGGAAAAGGGTAATACCAGCATTAGCTATCACGGATCAATAAGTAACTCACGATTTGTCTACTTGACATTTCATAGCAGTTTGTTGCATGTGGGTTAGTTTTGTACTTTGATTATAATGATTAAATGATATAATGATAAGTTGATTATGATTATAATGACCTGGGCTTCATGGAGCACCGTGGTCAAAATTCCGGCGAGAATCAGGGGAAGGAGTTTGGCCATCTTGACCTTCCCGACCTGGGGAGACACGAGACTATGATTATTGTTTAAGATATTAGTAGGATTATAATTAATGATACTTGAAATTATTAGTAGTATTGAAAGAGAGCTTATCAGCACAGTTTTGTAGAATTTTCAATTTTAAGAGTTATAACTGAGTTCTCAAAGGCTCTCAGGGGAATACTTCAATTGGACCGTTGATATCTTCGTCACTATTTTTGAAATTTGATAAACGTTTTAAATTAGTTCTATAGGTAACAAAACTTTTAATTTTATAAAGAAAATAAATAATACCATTTTTAATACCCATTCTCTTAAAAATCTTAGAATAAGTGCCCACAAATCGTATCACTAAGTTTTTAATACTCTATTGGCTGATGAGAAATATTGACTTGTAGCGGGACAAGTACACTCATAATACGACTTTACTGGATCTCCGCTCGCGGGCCCTATAACATACGAGGATTTCTTAAACCAGATCTGAATTTTCAAAGGCCACAAGGTATATTTTAATATAGTAGAGAATTCTCAGTCACGATACAGGTCTATAAACTAAATGCATGTAAGTTTACAAAAGCTCACCAAGACCTAGCCTATAGAAGTTTACAGACGTTGCAAAGAATGGTTAGTCAGGCAAATAAGTTTACAAATACAGACGCTATACAGATATTAAATACAGGTATTTACAGGCATTACAAAGTGGGGTTTCAGGCAAGTATATATAGGCTGCCTACTCGCAATCAGCTGCTTAACCCTAATCGCCACACGCCCGTGGGAAAACGCCCTTCGTTTCTAATAACCTTTTGGTTATCATCATGTTGAAATGCTAGACTTTTTTTAACCAATATTGAAATTATCACTTATCTGAGGCGGATTTGACAAATACTTCATTTTAAATAGCTCTTAAAATCATGAGCAACTCTATTACTGGTAGTCTATCAAGTTAACTTTCTTAGTTTTAATTTTTTGTAAAGCTTAAATTGATGTCAATTGCATTTATGACTGTAAAAGCAATATTTAACTGACACAACCCTGCTATTGGCAATATAATTGTAAATCAAGTTAAAAAAATAACCATAAATCTCACAGCCTTGTCTGTCTAGATACTCTTCAACTGATGTCTCTTTTTGGTGTCGCATCAATAATATTTTAGCTTTTTGATCTATAATAATGAGGCAGGTAATTTGGCAAACCACGTATAAACTTTAAGCACGGATTGAGCTGCTCCGCGTGTTGGCAGCGAGGTAAAGGTGGCCAAAAACATGAATTTTGTGTTTTTGATCGTAGAAAAATCTTATTTTTTATACCAAAGATATTTACGGTGTCTGCGTTTTGTTAAAGTTTATGAGAACGCTAAGTTAATGCACTCAGTGAACACTAAGTTAGGGAACTCAGTGTACGCTAAGCTATGAAACAAAAGGTAAACGCTATTAACAAGAGGTAAACGCAATAAAACAAGTTGTAAACTCCATAAAACAAGTGATAAACGCTATGAAACAAGTGGTGAACGCTATGAAACAAGTTGTAAACACTATGGAACAAGTGGTAAACGCTATGAAACCAGTGGTAAACGCCATAAAACAAGTGGTAAACACTATGGAACAAGTGATAAACGCTATAGTGTTCATAGACCTGCCCCACTCCATGGAGGTGGGTGTTCATAGACCTGCCCCACTCCATGGAGGTGGGTAGCCATAGACCTGCCCCACTCCATGGAGGTGGGTGGCCATAGACCTGCCTGCCCCACTCCATGGAGGTGGGTGGCCATAGGTGCACAGGTTCACCCTGGTTCCTATGTCCGGTTCTGATCGACATTGTGTGTGTCATTATGTCCGGTTCTGACATTCATTAATTGTGTGTGCCACCTTCAGTGACATCACACTTGCGGTTCTCTACTCTACTCTTCTCTTTCGGTTCGTTTATAATTGTCCGAATAACTTCATTGGCCAGGGAAGGATAATAACAAGACGTGTATCTAAGCGTAAGTATTAAAGATAGGTTCACGGGATACACTAGATAGAAGTTACGGGATCAAAGCACAGTATGTGCAGTAATTTTGGTAAAACTGCAGCAATTTGCAGTATTACGACACTGCGTGTTGGTATGAGTGCCGGAGTCTAAGACGACGTGAGCTCGTCTAGAGTTTGCAGGCTCTACGATGACTGCCTAAGACTGAGACTCTGCTAAGACTGCTCTAAGACCGCTCTAAGACTGACTGGCAGTACGCTCTCCGAACTTATATACGCGGTGACCCGCGAATAGTGACGTCACAGAAGGTGACGTAATAGTCACTAATGACATCACGACCTGACACTAATGTAGTCACCCCAATTTGTCACGCGTTCCGTAATATAAATATAGTTCACCTAAAGTCAACTCTGTTTTTCAGTCAAAACACGAGCTGTGACACATAGAACCTGTTGTTGCCGTTGCTATTGTTGTGTTGTTGTTGTTTACACCTCGTTGACGGTGGACGCAGTGCAATAACTGTCAGCGTCTAAGATCACATTCTTCAGAGCCCTTTTGATCCATTTCTTTAAGTACCGCTGCCAGCTATGGACGCCGTTCGAAACCCTTGTTATTCCTCTACTTGAATACTGCTGCCAGCTATGGACACCGTTCGAAACCCTTGTTATTCCTCTACTTGAATACTGCTGCCAGCTATGGACACTGTTCAAAATCCTTGATCCTTACATTGTTTTTTCTGTTGTTATTACCGATGTTAGTTCTGAGACTGTCAGGTGCTTCATGAGCTGCAGGTCCGCCATCTTTGTTATTGTTGCTTGTTTTATGATGGCCGTCGTTCTTTTATTTTCGTTGTTATGGTCATAATGTTTTGATATTCATCAAGTTTTTATCATTATTATATAGTTATTGTAGCGGTCTAAGTTGGAGTGCGTGTTGCAGGAGCTGCAGGTGCTGCTCCTGCAGCAGAAGGAGGAGCTGATCACGGCGACGGTGGCGCGGGAGGAGGCG